TGGTTTCCGGTACCGTTACATGATTTGCGGTAACGTCTTTGTCGGCTGGCCTTAAGTTGCCAGCCGACGACCTTTGGAACGCTTAAAAAATATGGGGCGCACCGCGCCTTCTTCGCCCGACGGTTCGTCGGTCGGGCGGCATCCGGCGGTTGTTCGGGCGGGAACGATGCACTTTCGGGGGTGCATCGTTACAAATGTTATTGCAGACGTTTTAAAGCTTCATCATGGCTATGATGATCTTTTTACAGCAAAATAGTTGTACAGTCAAATGGCTAGGATATCGTTTTCGAAGCCTAAAAATGTTGTCCCACTTTTGCTGTTACATCAAGACATTATAATGATGATGTGACAGTAGTTATGATAGACAAAAATGCTGCGGTTTAAAATGCGACAACGTTGTCGCAGACATTTTATAGCTTCATGTGCTTGGGTATACTTGCCTTATAACGAAGAATCAATTAATTTGAACTAACAATTTTGCTTTGTATTTAATAAATTGCTCATTGTTGACTTTTCTTTATTTATTTTTTCTTTGGCAATATTATTTCATAGCTGTCATATTTCAAAAAGTAACCTCAGCTTTTTGAAGATATCCCAGAAGTAAGAGTTTAAATGGAAAGTGACCTTAGGATCACAGAGATCCCAGAGTATAACAAGAACGTTGCTTTTATTCGTGATTATATGATCTTTTTCTTTGCAAAATTTATCTACAAAACATAAGTGTGACGAGTGGTAGTTGGAAATTTGTTTTTCTTCAACTTATTGTTAACCAAAAATTTAATCATACATATTGAATTACTAGCTGCATTAAAAAAAATATGTTTTCGATTGTTATACGTCACATTTGTATTTTAGATAAATTTTATACAAAAAAAGATTATTTGCACAAAAAATTTGATTTTACTACAAAAATAATTAAAAATAGTAAAATATCCCATTTAATTTTTTTTAGATTTTTCTTTAAAATTATACTCAAAATTAAAAAATAATGAAATTGTAAAGTTATTCTGATTCCCCGTCATTCGTGATCCTGTATGTACATACATATAAATATATATAAGGAGAGTCACGAATAAAGATGGATCAGAATAAGTTTACAAAATTTTATTTTTTAACTTTCAGTACTATTTTAAACTAAAACAATTATTTTTTGTGTGGATTTGTTTTAAAAAAAATAGTCATAATTTTTTTATACATATAAATGCACTATTTTCACTACTTCAAAATAGCCACCATTTAATATGCAAAATAAATATATTTTTTTAAATATCCATTAAAAAACTTTTTTTCTCTTTAAGAGGATGCTAAAGCCGTCTGTTTTATCGACAAAAATGCCATTTTTGTTGGATACAAAATACTTCGTATTAATCGCATAAAATAAAATTTCTTTTTCCACGATTAAAACACACATGCTTATGCATCTGGCTCTGGTGTGTTTTGTACCAAAAATGGGAAAAAATTAAGAATTACAGATTTCGTTATCCATTTTAACCTCAACATGGCGACTAATGCTATCAA